CGGGGGGCAGCAGGCGGGAGCCCGCGGCGGGGCGCGCAGGGCCGCCCGGGCGCAGAAAGGACACGGGCTCTGGAACGTGCAGCCTCACGCGGCGCCTGGAGCAAAACCGAACCCCAAAAGGGGCAACGGGAAGGAACGAATTCTCCATTTTCATCCCGCCTGTGCCCCGACAGGCCCGTTTCTGACCCTGAGCATCGTTGTCTGGAAACGGGCACGGGCCGCCTGCCATCGCCACCTCAGCTGTTCGTTTGCCAGCAGCTAAGACCACCGCATTTGTCTGTGCCCTACACGATAGGAGCTGCCCCTGCAGCTATGCGGTGACCAGAAGCCAGTGCCCGTGCCACCGGGGTGACCCATCGTGCCGGCCGCGCAGTCCTGGCGCAGGTGACAGGAGGCACGCCCCCAGCCAGGCCCCCCGGGTGTGCACCCTCCGCTTGAGCCCACCAGCAGGTGCCTGCTGCGCTCGGTAAGCAGCAGGCAGCCAGTGTCGGCTCCCTTGTCTTCACCAACCACTGTCCCGCCGGAACCCAGGTGACCTGACACTGTGCTGTCTGTGACACCGTGCGGTCTCCCCCGAGGGGACGCACCTTGGCGGGGACCCATCCCCGCTCTACAGCTCAGAATACGAGCCGTGTATCCGGTGAAAGTGCCGGGGCCACTGCAGGAAGGGTGCGTTTGGCTGCCGAGCTGGGCGCAGCGCTTGTCAGTTAGATCCTGCTGGTTGCTGGGTGGCTCAGGTTTCCGTCCCCTTCTGTCTGTCTGTCTAGCGGTCCCATCAGCTGCTGAGAAGGTCGTGTCTAGTCCCAAGCGCCACTGTGCCTTTGTCCCTCTCAGCTCAGCTCCACGGCACTTGGCTTCATGCACTGAGACTGGCTTTGGCGCGCACACTTCGGCTGGTTGCATCTTTCCAGCGGATTGATCCTCTTATGATGGCGCCGCGTCCTCCCGTGTCTAGCAATTCTCTTTGCTCTCAAGTGGACTTTACCAGGGATCGATACAGTGGTTTGTTTCTTTACATTAATGTTGGCATGATGTATCTTTTTATATCCTAATTTCAATTTATCGATGTCACTGAATTTGAAACGTCTTGTAAACAGCATATAATTGGGTCGTGTTTTGTTTTAGTTTTGTCTTTTGATTGGCATAGTTCAAATATTTACATTTAAGGTAATTACTAATAAATTAGGGCCACAGTCAGCTACATTATAATTTGTTGTGCCTTGTTTTCCTTTTTCTGTTTTCTTGCCTTCCTGTCGGTTAGTTTTTATGATTCCATTTTGGGGCCCATCACTGAATGATGAACTGGGACATGACGCCCCCACATAGCAGGGGCCTGTCCAGCGACACCTGGTGGCACCGGATCCCCCATAGTCCTCTGGGCCATCGCGACAGACACAGACTGTGTTCCTGGAAAGCACACCCGTGAAGGATGTGGAACCGGTGCCCTGGCCACCGTCACTCCCTTTTGGGACATGAGTCAAGGGTTTTGAGGGCCCAGCGGGGAACCCCCGCTGGACAGGACCCACCCAGCTCCACCTGGCCTCCACACTTGGCCCCACACTGCGTTGTTACAAGCCCACCTTCCCAAAATATGGGTGCGTCCGTCTCCTTGGCGTGTCCCAAGGGTGGAGGGAGGAAGCAGCGCAGGCTCACGGGACGTAGGAAAGCAAGTGAAGCGGGCAGGGGCCGCCAGTGGGGACCCGCACTGCCCGGCCACCCCAAGATGGGCCCACGCACTGCGTGTCTTCTGACCTGGAGCCGACGCAGTCAGAGAGCTTAGGCCACATGAATGGTCACACCTCGGCCCTGAGCCTGGTGATGATGGTGACCTTGTCTGTGCTGGAGCCTGCACCCGGAGAGGGAGGCGGGGCCCGGGGCAGCCCAGTGACCATCCACCCAGTGGGGTCTGGGTGTGACACAGATGCAGGCTGAGGCGTGTCCGGCAACCACCCTGTGTCCTGCAGTGACAGCTGCTCCGAGCTTTAGGACGCACAGGGAAAGAGGGCAGAGGGTCCTCCCATCACCTAACTCAGGAGGGAGTGCCCAACTAGGTGACACCTGGCAAGTCCCATCAGGGGCCCCACAGCAAAACCTGCCAGCACCCACGATCATACCGCACATTATACGAGTAATTGAATTCTTAAAATCCTGAATACAATGTTTCAAAAGTCTCAGGGCAGAACTCTTAAAATATATTCTTGAAGGGAAAACACACCTGAATCCATAAACAATCCCCTTCAAACTCCCCAGAAACACAGACGCATGCACATGTGTATACACACCAGCACACACGTACACACCTGCACATGTACACACACCTGCACACACGTACACACCTGCACACGTACACACACCTGCACACATGTATCACCTGCATACAACCGTCGGGACATGTCCACCCAGCACAAAAACAGATGCCCATCACCCACCATGGTTAATATTTTATTATACTCTGATAGAGATGATATTTAATGGACAGACAAAATGCCTATACAAAGGGTTTATAGAACATTCATTTACAAACTGGATATATCCTTTACAATATAGAAAAGTAAGAACTCCGCTACTGGTTAAGGCCAAGGAGACACGGCAAGGTCTCCGGTGCTGAGGGGACATGGGGGACTGTGACGGGTGTGGCTTAAATGGTTACAGGTTAACACTGGAGGAGCTCAGTGTGTGGTTAGCGAGGGGTCAGTGGGACCCTGGCCATGGCACTGGGGGTGCAGCTCTTGTGAGCACCAAGGTCATGTGGTCTTGTTCCAGGCAATGCACATGGCATGTGTAACATGTAACATAGACGAGGGGCTGTCGTAGCAGCTCCTCGGGCCCTGGGGGCTGGCTTCCCGGTCCCCCCAAGGGAACCATCTGCCTGGAGCAAATCTGATGCCCTGAGCCCCGAGAGGACAGGTTGCAGCGGGCCAGTCAGTGCGGTGCCTCAAGTGCTGGGAGCGGGCGGGAGGCCCTGATGTCCCCACACCTGAGCTCCCCATCCCACCCTCTCGCTTCCCCCCTTCCTTCGTCAGAAAGTAAGGGGTCTGGCCTGCGGCTTTTGGGTCACCCGTAGTGTCAGCCATCTCAGGGTGAGGCGCCGCCCGGGGACACCTTCGACTCCCACAGGGACCAGGACCTCGGGCCTGGGAGGTGCCAGCAGTCTCTTCGCCACACACCATGTGGCAGGAAAGGCCGGTGACCAGGTGTATGCTTGGCACAGAAATCAGGCGCCTGCATTTGGCGCATGGCTAGGAGCTGAACGCGGCCGACCAACTGCTTTCACACGCACAACGCCCATCGCCACCTGAGGTGCCAACCCTGCTCCGGCTGTGTCTCTGACACAACAGAGCGTCCACAAAGCGCACTTTCAAACCCTGGTCTGGTGACCGTCATGGTGATGCCTGGGGCCCGCGGAAAGAGACGGTGACTTAAGTCGATGGGACGTGCAGGGCCATCAGCTCTCCCAAGCCTGTGGCCACGGACGGACCGAGCGACGGGCCTTGGCACCGGCGATCACATCAGCATAAACAGCTCCTGACACCTGCCTGAGGCCGGGCAGACAAGCGCCCTGTGAGGCCCTCACTTCCTCTGCTCCCCTCACTCAGGAGCCCACAAGCCTGGACCAGGAGGAGGGAGCTTCCAAACCTAAGCATGCCCCACCCTTCCAGAACCTTCCTCCCCAGGAAGGATGTCACCGGCAGCCTGGAAACGACAGACCAGCGGCCAAGCGCTGGTCAGGCCGCTGGAGGCAAAGTCACACTCTGTTGACAGCTCGCGCGGGAGCTGGTCCGCAGTGCCGCCCTCGGTCCTGGTGCCCCCGACACCGGCGGGACATGGCACTGGCACACCAGCATGGGCAGCAGTGGCAAATCGTGACCATAAATAATTTGGCAAAAGTAAAACAGAAATTCTGTGGAAATGACATCTGACTTCCGTCTTCTCCAATTCTCTCGCGTTCCAGCGCCCCTTTCAGACTCCAAGTGGGGGTGGCGCTGAGGCCATCACCAGGCCGGGGTGGGGCTTTCTGACCCAGGGGGACACCTCGTCCTCACAGCCCATCGCGCCGTCCCCTCGCTTGTGCCCCAGTGTTCCAGAAGGGCCTGCCCTGCACGAGCCTTCATCACACAGGCGTCCCCTCAGGTTAATGGCATCACTGCTGTGGGAGGACAGAGGCCACGACAGAGAGGGCTGGGCGTCCTCCCTTCCCAGAAGCCAGCACGCAAGAGCATGGGATCCCATGTCTGCTCGCACGGTCCTTTCCGGCGGGCAGCCCAAGGGGGCGACCAGGTGCCCGGAAAGCGCTGGGGTGCAGAAGTGTGGGCGCGGCTCCTCTGGGGAAGGGTGCTGAGCTGCTTGCTTTTGGGGATGGGGTGGGAGGGGCCCCTTCCCCTGGGACAGGAATGTCAGGGCCACAGTCGGTGACACAGTGGGGCCGCCCCAGCCCCTCTGCCACCTCTGGCTGTGAGGGGCTCAGATCTTCTTAGGGGATCCGATCATGACCTTGGACACGAAGTTGACAATGGCACTGGCGGGTTGCTCGGGGTCGTGCTCTGCAAACAGGTGGCACACGTTGTCTGTGGCACTGCCCTGCTTCCGGGCCACAAACCCGAAGACTCTGCAAAGGACAGTAGGGTCAGTGCACCAATGTCCTGACCTGCAAGGCGCGAGTGGGGACTCACAGCCCGGCCTCCTCCTGCCACCTACGCCTGCCAGGGCCCCGCGCCTTGTGGGACACCTGCCAGCGTCCTCTGCGCCTTCACCCTGCTGTGGCAGGACGCTAATGCTCCGCCTTGCAGGTGAGAGCCGCCTGCTCCGGTCTGGGACCGGAGGAGTCACAGCCACATCTCCACGCCCGGCCTGAGGCCTGCAGACACCTGTCAGGGTGGGTGGCCGAGCCCAGTCCCCAGTGCCCTCAGGGAGGACCCGGCTGCCCCTGGGGGTCAGATCACACCCCCACACACACACAGGGCAGAGTCTCCCCTGGGGCCTCGTGTGCCTGCGTCATCACGACACACAGCTGAGGGGCTGTGCAAACCACAGCATGTCCAATTATTCCTCTTAGAAGAATCGAAGCCATTATCTGAACAGGTTTCCAGGAGCTGGGAACTGACACAGTGACTGCCGGGTGCCCAGTCCCTGCAAAGCCTTTCTCCTCCCTCTCAGAGAGATGAAGGATTGTTTTGTTTAAGTTTAGTGGTTTCCACACCACGGAAGGGATTAGCTGAGGGCGTTCACGTCACACACATTCCATGTGGCTGGAGGCACTGCCAGCCCTGCAGCCAGAGCCCAGGGCTCGGCCATGCCAGGGACCCGGCCACGCCTCTGAGCACTAGGTCAGAGCCCAGGACAAAGGGGCGAGGAGAACAGAAGTGCTGGGAAAGGACCCGTGACTCTGCCTTCCTGGCACTCTGCGGGAGGTGATGCGGGCCGCAGACAATCCCAGGCAGCCCGGCCGCCGGAGCCTGGCTGGCCCCAGAGCGCGGGGCCAGGAGGCGCGTCCCTCTGCATCTGAAGATGCTCGTGCCCCTCCCCCTGTGCCCACGCGCACAGCTGTTCCTTCTCACACCGACCCCACGGCTGCAGCCCCATTGTCCTGCGCCACCTGCTTCCTGCTTCCGTGTCACTCCGGGGACCGAAGGCGAACACCGCGCGCTCTCAGAGCAGGCAGACCCGCCGGCCCGGGCGCGACCAGAGCGCCTCCGCTTTGGGAAAGCAAAACCCAAACCCACTGACATCGCTGTCACATCCTTACGAGGACCTTTCGGAAGTTTGGGCCCGAGTTCCCCGGGGGAGCTCAGGGCGCAGGCAGCTCACCTGGAGCAAAGGCCGTCCGCCATCCACCTTGCGAAGCAGAGAAAAAAGAAAGAGTCACGTTACCGTCGCCACCGCCTCAAAGGGCGCAGGCCGCGCACCGCGCGCTCGGGTCTTACTTGCGGTCCTGAGGGTCCAACGCACAGAAGATGACGCTGCTCACGGGGTAGTGCCTCCGGAAGAAGAGCCTGTCGGACACGGGTGGGGGGCACCGTGAGGCCCTGGGTGGGCTCCCCACGCGGACGCTGCGGGGGCGGGGCCGTCCGCGCTTTAACCGGGTTTGGAGGGTAGAGCAGAGCGAGCAGCACATGCACTGGGGAGGGCCGGCTCGCGGGAAGAAAACTGTCGCCGCGTGAGGAGAAGCGCAGCGCGTGGCAGATGGGACCAAACCGAGGAGCCTGCCTGCCCTGGCCAGGGACCCGCCCACCGTCTCCAGCCTGACTTTCCTCGCCCGTGGAAAGGGCGTCCAGCCTGCTGGGCCAGCACGGTCACTGGTGGAACCACCAGAGGACCCCTCTGTCCCTGGTCCCGGTTCACGTCATGGCATCATTTGTTTCACCTGCCAGTGTCCCCCACCCCTGCTCCTTGGAGCGCCACCCGCCCCAGGTCCACATGGTCAGGAGACCGCACACACGTGTGCAGCTGGGCCCGTCCCTCCTCCTGGGAGAGGCTGCACCCCAGACATTGGTGGCTTTGCTCCTGACACAGGAAGAAAGGAGGAGACAGAGAGGCCAGCGCACAGGAAAGGCACAGGCCTGGACACGGTCCAGTCGGGGGCCCTGAGGAGCCCTTTAATGTGGGTGATCGGGGAGGGTACAGCCTCCTGTCAAGCCCCAGTCAGGCTGAATTTGAATTCTGTGTCTTGCAACAGGACAGATCCTGAATGCCATGGACATGCTCCCCCGCCCCCCACACACACACCTCCGCAGGGTTTATAAGGACTCGGGAAATCAGAGATCAGAAAAACGCAGGTGGCAGGAGCCAGGGGACAAGCGGGCAGGAACCGCCACACTCCCCGCCATGTCTGCCCTTCAGCTGTGCTGGGCACCTGCCACGTGCTCACTTCACTCCAGTCACTAAAATCCCAAGACCGTGACTTTGATGCAGAAAGATGAGGAAACGGAGGGTCATGGGGGGAAGGACCTGCCGACGGTCCCCTCCCTGGTGAGTGGCCGGGGCAAAGGCACCTAGATCTAAGGATCGAGGCTCACGGCCCCCGCCATGCCCCTGTCCTGAGCTGGAGAAGGGTTATGGGTGAAACCCTCCAACCTGCTTCGCCATAACAGCAGTGGGTGGAAGGTTCTGTTCAGAGACCCCACCCTCCCTTAGAGACTAGCCCCAGAGCCGCCTGAGGAGTGGGGGGGCTGCACAGGAAGAGCCTGGGTCGCCGGTCTGAGCCCGCTGGCTGGTGCCCAGGAGGCTCCTGCCGGCTGTCTGTCCGGTGAACGGTGCCGTATCGGTCACGTCAGGCTGTTTCCTGACACATCAGTAATGACTGCGCCGGAGGTGCCTTGGATCCTGCGCTCAAAGCCTCCGCTGGCGGGAGGGACACCCCTGCCAGTGTTCTGTCTGGCACCTGACACAGCTCAGGCGGGGCCACGAAGGGCCCCTGGGCCACCTGCTCCGCAGAATCAGACACGGGCTGCTCTGACGGAAGTGGCTTGAAACTGAACCATCATCTACTATCTGGACAGTCACACAGAACATGGTGATAATAACTTATTAATATTGATTCGTTTATGTGATTATGTAACAATTACATTATATAGACACTGAAAGGATATCTAGCAAGGTCACACTATCACCTGACCCAGCACCACCACCAGTTAGAAGTGATATGGATTCTATCACTCTCAGAGTATTTTTTACAGAAATGGCTTAAAAGATTTTGCATTTGTAAATTACCCAGGTGTGTGCATAATGTTTGATTTTACTGATTCTTTAGAAAAAGCATTTGGGCCCCACATTAACAGCCTACAGGTGGGGGCCTGGACCCCTCTGATGGAAGGAAGACAGGCAGATGGATCGCTAGAGCCCAAGAGCCCCGCCCCGCGCGGCCCCGCCCCGCAGCCCCGCCCCTTGCGGCGCTCCCCGAGCCGCGGCCAGTTTGGCGCTTGCCCCGCGCGTGACCCGGTGTTTGCCTGCCCGCAGCCCCGCCCCGTGCAGCCCCGCCCACACTCACTTCCTCTGATTGTCCGTCAGGGTGACGCCCTGGGCCGACACCTTGAAGTGAACCACGGTGCACAGGGGTGGTGGCTGCTGGACCAGGGTGATGCTCAGAGCCTTCTGGATGGCTTGGTGGCCTGTGAGGGACTCCATGTCCACGGAGTTGAGGTACCACACGTTGCAGGCTGCGGACGAGGGAAGCAGACGTTTAGTTGCCAACGGTGGCCCTGGGGTTCACCAACGGCTTGCACCTGTGGCCTGTGCCAGGTGCACCTGATGCAAAGGCCCTTTGCCCCTAACTCTGAGGTGTGGAAACTGGGTGACCCAGAGACACTTGCCCCAAGGCCAACACGGAGAATAAATGCACCACTGGTGCCCTGGGGACCCTCCCGGTAACCCCAGGACGAGCGTTCACCCTGTTGCGCCATTTGCGTCTGGCGTCTCCATGTGAGGCTGGGGGGACAAGAGTCCAACCATGACTGGAGTTCAGGACGCGTCCGAGAGGGGAGCGTGTGGCCCGGACCCATCACCGCCCTGCTCGGAGCTCAGAGTGGAGACCGATGACTGGCCGGCCCAGAGCTCAGTGCCTGCAGAGCTGCGACAGACCAGGTGCTTCTGTGAAACCTGGTGTCAGCCAGGATGGCCGTCCTGGGCCAGGACTCAGGAGGGTCAGGAGAGCCGCCTGCACCTGCTAAGCTATAGGTCTTGCTTCTGAGAGGACGGAAAAGGACACACGCCACGACCATGTGAGGCCGCCGAGCTGGAGAAGAGGCGGAGCCACACAACATTATGGCGAGAAAAGTTGGGACAAGTTGTGTCCAAACAGGGGAGGGGCTGAGTCAGCCCCTCAGTGGAGCACCAAGCAACCAGCACGTGGTGAGCATGGAAATTGTACAGCAACGTGGAGCATGTTCGTGGCGATGCGGAAGCAGAATAAAGCCGTGTCTGAGCTACGGTTGAAACAGTAAAATGAACAGTGTGCGTGCGCAGGGAGGACTTGGAAGGGCGGCCGGAGAGCTCGAGGCTCTGTGGTTTAGGAGAGCGAAGGCTCCGCGTCTGATTCACTAGTCCCACTGTCATGCTAACCAGGCAGTTACAAAGGAGGAAGAGAGAAACTTGTGACCTAACTTCAGTGGAATCCCACAAAGCTGGCACAGCCTGCGCGGGGCGCACAGTGGCAGCCACGGGCTGCCTGACCCCGGCAGCGTCACATGCGGCCTTGCCGGGAAGCAGCAGCACTCTGCTTGGGGCACCTCTCTCTCCATTGGCAGCTATGCTGTCACTCTGCTCAGCACAGAAGGGGCACTGCCCTCCACAGCAGCTGTGCTGAGCACACGTCAGCCCCCGAGTCTCTACTGTCCAGCAGCAGAGAGGTGGGCCTGAGGGTCCCTGCTGTGTCTGTCCTGCCAGGCCAGGCCCAGGACATCCAGATTCATGAGGCAAGTGCTCTTGTCCAGGGAGTTAGAGCCGTGATGCCTGGTGTGACTGGATGACACAGCACCCACAAACCCCCAGCGTGAGGCACTGCATGGCACTGGCTGGGCTACTCCAGGAAAGCAATTTGCCAGCATGGGACAAATGTGCAGGGTCCAGAGGCTGTCACCCAGTCCTACCCTCTGGGAATGTGGGGTCCTAAGGTGACCCAGAATCCAGAATCAAGAAAAGAAGGAAGGAAGGAAGGTGGCCTCCCAAGCACATTCGGGGCTTGGGGATGCTAGAAACAAGCTAGACGAACAACCACAAAAGCTGCGGCGCACGACTGAACAGTCACTCAGCCGCTGACCATGACAGAGATCTACAGGGTATTTGCAAAACCGCAGCTGAGCTTCTCACGCTACGAGAGATAAGGAACGGCACTCAGTGTCTGCCTGGGGGTGACAGGTCTCTGAGTAATCCAGTCTCCCGTGCTTTTCTGCGTCTTCCTTTCTTTAACTTAAAGAACACACATTACTTTTATAAAGAAAATACACTACAAACGGTAAGGTAAAACCACAGCCCTAAGACTTGTGGGAAGTCTGCCAGGAGTCTGGTAAAAATGCCTTTCTTTTTAGGACGACACTGCATTCTTCTGCTTCAACAGGAACCAATTAAGAATGGAGACTAAAAACATACACGGGATTGTTTTAGAGACTGGACACACTCACAATCGGTTTCAAATGAAACGGATTAACTGAAGAGCTCTGAAAGCTTGTGCCTCATGCTGTGCGCGGTCCAGCCCTGCCGACAGTCTGTCTGGGGCTCCCCACTTACGAGGAAGCTAGACCAGCGAGTCCCAAAGCATGGTCAAGTCCAGAGGTCCAGGGATCTACGTGAATTGGGACAGCAAATGACATGTGGCTTAAGAAAAAAACCTCAATTTCTTTGCAGCGATCAGAGGTCAGACCATCTGACACCTCCCAGCCGGGGTTGCTCTGGACTTGTGTAAACGACCTTGAACTCCCGGAAGGTAGCTGCTTCCGGAAGGTAGCTGGGGCTGCTCTGCAGTGGCCTCGCTCTCTGGGACACCTGTCTGTTGCCTTATCTTGGGAGCCGTGAAGGTGGCTGGACAGAAATTCCTACCTTCCGATGTGTTCTAGAACCAAGAGATTTTTGAAGGATGTAAACTCCACCCATGCATAATTTAACTCTATGTAAATGCCCACCTCAGATGGTTAAAAAGACCCCAGGTTCTTACTAGAGTCCTGACCCTCGGAAGGCCCACCCTTTAGAGAAACAAAACACTTGCAGTTATTGCTATGTGCTATGTGTGATTTAGAAACATGATAACATGACTTAGAAATGATAAGCCAGAAGAGAAGGCTTTAGTATCTAAAAGTAAGACTGTTTCGGTTGACCTGGCCATGGCTGACTCGTCCACTGTCCCATTAACTCTGCATCTACTGGAAAATGTTAAATAACAGTGATGGTGAAATAGACAAACAGATCCATGGGACAGAACAGAGAGCCCAGGAACAGACCCCATAAACGGAGTCAACTGATCTTTGACAAAGGGACAAAGGCAACACAATAGAGCAAAGACACTCTTTTCAGGAACGATGCTGGAACAACTTGACATCCACAAGCCAAAATGAATCTAGACACAGACTCCACGCCCTTCTCAAACACTCACTCAAAATGGACCACAGGTCTAAATGTAAAATGCAAACTATAAACCTCCAAGAAGACAACCCAGGAGGAAATCTAGACGGCCGTGGGTTTGGTGATGGTGTTTTAGATACAATACAAAAGGCACGATCCGTGAAGGAAATAAGGGATAGAGTGTATTTAATTAAAATTTAAAAATTCTGCTCTGCGAGAAACACTGTCAAGAGAATGAGAAGACAAGCCACAGACTGGGAGAAAATGTTTGCAAAACACAACTGATGAAGGACTGTTATCCAAAATACAAAGAACTCTTAAAACTTAACAGTAAGAAAACAAACAGCCTGATTAAAAAATGGACCAAAGGCCTTACCAGATGGCAAGTAAGCTCTGAGAAGATGCTCCCATCACATGTCATCGGGAAATGCAAACTAAATCAGCAATGAGGCACCACCGCTCACCTATCAGAACACGGGCCACCCCACACGGCGGCCAGGACGTGGCGCCCCGGGGATCACTCGTTCCCGGTGGGGATGCACACCGGCGCGGCCACTTTGGAGACGGTCTGCAGTTTCTTACAACGTTACACACACTCTCACCATACAATCCAGCGCTCCCGCTCCTTGGTATTTACTGAAGCGGATGGAAACGTGTGTCCACACAAAAGCCTGCACACAGATGTTTATAGCAGCGCTGTTCATAACTGCCCAAGCTTGGAAGCCACCTAGACGTCCTTCAGTAGGTGACGGGTAAATAAACTGTGTGCCCCCAGACAGTCGGTCACCACTCAGTGCTAAGAAGACATGAGCTGTGAAGTCACAGAAAGACACGCGGGAGCCTTCCATGCACGTCACTAGGTGACAGAAGCCAGTCTGAAAAGGCTGTTCACTGTTGGCTCAACTCTGTGATATTCTGGAAAAGGCAAAACTATGGAGACAGGAAAAGGTCAGTGGTTGCCAGGGGCTGGGGGGAGGGATGAACGGAGCACAGGGGTTTAGGGCCGTGAAAACACCCCGTGAGACACTAGTGGTGGACATGTCATTAGACATCTGTCCAGCCCACAGAAGATACAACACCAAGAGTGACCCTAATGCAAAATGGGGACTCTGGGTGATAACAACGTCAATTTGGTTCATCCTTGTGACAAATGTCCCATCTGGTAGGAGGTGTGGACAGCGGGGAGGCTGTGCATGTGGGGGGCAGGCAGAGGGGACACTGGAAGTCTGTACATTCACTTCAGTTTTGCTGTAAAGCTAAACCCTCTTTAAAAAATAAAGTCTATTAATAAGAAAGAGAAAAGCGCCCTGGAGAGCCTGCTGTCTGGGGGGCTGTGTCACCCTGGGGTGCGTGGGTCACCCGTTGGCTCATGTCGATGACCGAGTCACATCGTCTAGACGTTTACACTGAGGGCTGAAGGGCAGGTCACCCACATCCTGTCTGTTTCCCCAAACTAAACACGGGGCTTGAGGTTCATTCCACTGACTTTGAGTCAGAGGGACATTTCCAGCGCGTGGAGCCCGCCCCTGCAGCTCTCACAGGAAAGGAAACCTTCAAACACAGCAGGAGAGGAAGCAGCTGGGGAGGGTGGAGGCGTGTCACTGGATGCCACGGGGACAAGGAAGCGTGACTGACCTGCCCCCTGCTTCAGCAGCTCAGCAGCGGAGTTGGCGGCCGTCTGGGGCGAGCTTTCTGCTATTTCCTCCAGCGGGTCTGCAGGAAGGAGCGAGAAAAGAGAGGTGAGCACGGCTGGTAGAAAAGCAGCCTCCTCGCAGTGCGACACTGGTCACTGAATTCACACGTGGTGACAGCAGAGCAGCCCGCGCAAGTGCCATCATATCCTTCGCAAAGGCTGGGATGACAGAGTCCAGCAAATATTTTCCTGGCCTCTGAATTAATTGATGTGAACAAATGAATTATAAGAAGGAACCCACATGGACCTGCAGTGTGAATAGCTCTTTCTGGAGTAAACTGTGTGAAGCCAACTCTGCGGACGGAGCTGGGCCCTAAGATCCAATTGCACGTCATGCCGTGAGCGTTACTTGTTTTTAACATGTTATTACGGCTGCTTTCGATCAACCACAGCGGCGAAGGGGAAGTGTGCCCAGCGCCCAGCGCCGCATGTCGGCATTCTGTCGTCACAGATATGTGTGTGTGTGTGGCCTGAAGGCCTCTCGCTCAGGCGTTCTACATTTAAGAGCTGCAGAGTCTCCGCTCAGAGAAACCCGTCACAAAGCCCAGGCTGTGACGACGGGACCCCTGCCCGGGCTGGGGTGCAACAGGCGGCCTCCTCTGCCCTGGCCTCGGGGTTTACCCACGGAGCACAAGACAGGGAAACCCTTTCTGTGCGCCTCTCGCTGGACCGGTGTGGCCGGCACTCGGCAGGCGACCCCACTCACACGGCCAGCGGCCCGACCGCGGCCGCACACGTACCTCTGTCTGGAATGAGCAGCTTGCAGGGCAGGGCCAAGGCCGTGATAGAATGCTGACACACCAGGGCCGTCAGGCTCCCTGCAAAACGCAGCAGCAGACGAGCGTTAGGACGCTGTCACTCGCCGGTGTCCCCTGAAG